AGATTAATGGGAAACCATGGAGGGTTTTGGATCATGGGAGTGATCTAACCTAACCTTCATTTTAAATGGATAGTTCTGACTGCCGCGTGGAGAATATAAGGGGAAAGAGGAGACAAGGACACATGAAGGGACGACAGTTAGAAAGATAATTCTTTAGCCCAAGGGAGGATATTGTTATATGATCCAAGGGATTAGGATGGTAGCAACATAGGTGGCTGGGCTTCCTCTGCGGCTCAGTGATTCTTTAGAATCTGCCTGCAGTGCAGAAGATGCGGGTTCAATACCTTGTTTGGAGAGATCCCTTGGAGAAGGAAATGGCACGCCACTGCAGTATTCTTGCCTGGAGAATCCCATGAAGAGAGGGACCTGGCGGCTACAGTCCATGGGGTTGCAAAGAGTCAGACGTGACTTAGAGATTTAATAGCAACAGCAATGTAGGTAATAAGAAATAGTCTGCTCCTAGCCATATTTTAAACCTAGAATTGGCAGGATTTGCGGATGGATTTGGACCTGAGAAATTTGATAAATGGTGATGTCAAGATGGACAGTACTGGAACAGAAACCTACTTTGAGGGAGGAGCTGAGGTGAAAACCAAGTTTGATTTTGCAGTGTTAAGTGTTAGATGACTGTAATACACCCAAGTGGAAATTGGAGTAGGCAGTGTAAATCTCTGAGGATAAAAGCCATGGTACTAAATAAACTAAGAAGAAAAAAAAAGTATTTCAAGAAGGATGGAGTGGTTAACTGTGTCAAATGTGGCTTAGAGATCAAGAAAATTGATGATGGAACACTGACCATTGATTCAGCCAATTAGATGTCATTAGTAACCTTGGTAAGAGGGGTAGCAATGATGTAGTGGGGATAGAAGCCTGCATTGAGAGAAAATGAAACATGAGAGACATTGCGGGGGGAGGTTTCCATGAAAGAGATGAGAGAAATGCTGAATTTTGATATTTTGAATATATGAATTGTGTAAACTTCTCTACAAACATAAGATACCTCACCATATTTTTTAAGACCTTGAAACAAATTTTATATAGTCATTATATTGAGTATGTAATTATTCAATAAATATGGTTGATGTTTTACTATTTTATATTGATTTTACTGTACTAATACATTTTTCATAGATTGTTTTGTGCACAAAACTGTACTCTATATTGAAATATGGTCACTTTCCTCTAAAGAATTTCTAAAATTATTACAAGTTAAAAATATACATTAAATCAAATTTTAACATACTCATAGCTGGTAACAATATTATATTGCTTTAAGTATTTTCATATTATATAAAGTAACTGGAAAAATAATACTTGAATACTTGATATTAACTTTAAATGTAGCTATTATAGGTTCTAAGGTGTTCTGAATTTGATGACATGTGCAATGTTAAATTCAGTTGACTGTTTAGAGCTTTATTTTCTTCATTTTAGCATATTTAATACCCAGATTACCTTGTCATCTTCTTCTTTATCATAATTGGCTGATCCTACTCTTCAGGGATAAAAATAAGCATCCATCAATGGCCCTGTACTCCCAAAGTACTCCTTTTTCCCATCTCCACACAGAAGAAGCAGGCTTTTCAACATCTGAACTTAATGATTTGCATGAAAAACCACATGATGAATCCCTACAGCTCAATCATTCAAATTACGTGTCAAAGGGAAAAAAATATATCCATTTTTCGATCATGGGAAGGGGGTGCAGATAGATAGGCAACCAAGAGCATCAGTGCGGCACAAAGTGGAATTTATTTTAAACCTTCCCTCAAAGGGCTGCCCTCAAATCTCCTGTGCTCAGAGCTATGACACTGATTGCTCCATCCCACTTGCAGTTCAGCCTTCCCAAGATTTCTGATTCATGGATCAGCCTTGAATGACCAACCTTCCATCTCAGGAGCAGAGTTTTCCCGTGTAAAAGAGACTGACTCTCCATAGCTTCTGTCAAAGACTGACTAATAACCTCACTCAGGTGTCTGACACCTTGGAGAAGGAAGTGAAACTTTCATCAGCTGGATTTTCTTTTTCAGAAAGTTGATTACATAATTCATGCAGTTCATTAATCCTAGTTTACTGGGTTCTGTATAGGTGGTAACAATCCACCTATACAGAGGCTGTGTAATGCTGATGGTAAGCAGCAGGCCATCCCCAAGAAGCACATGGCAGGTGCCAGGTTAGCTTCCCACATTTCTGTAGATTTGACTGAGGAGACAGTGGGTCCAAAGGGACTGACAGAGTATATTACATACACAGCATAAACGGAGTCACCTCTGTGGCAGCTTTCCAGATCCCTAGAAAGGCCAGGACTAGGGTGAGCAAATCAGGTACTTAGGGCATGGAGTTTAAAGAGCCATTCCCTCTTAGGATTCTACAAATGTCAGTTTGTTTTGCAGATGTCTAGGAATGGGCTATACTATTTAAGAATGGTGTATAACATTTAAGGGGTATCACTCTCAGGATCCTGTAAGGGCTGGATCAGCACCTGTATGACCTTCAAACTGAGTGTCTCCTTATGTTTTTCACCTTAGTCACATTGCTTGCCTAAGTCCAGTCCTGGACCTGGACCCCAGGCCCACAGGACACCACTTTTGGTTAAGCCAGATAACAGACAGTAAGAGCAGTGGGCTCTTCTGTTGAGGGGGAGCCCATTCCATCCTGAGCTTTAGTAATTCTATATCCTGTAGATGGATCTGGGGGTGCAAGGGAAAATTCCATGCCTCACTGGTGCCAGGGAGGAGAATGAGGACCAGTTGTGTGGAAGCTCTTCATGGCTTGCTTATGTTGTCGTGTTCCTGGGAGGCCCAAAGGAAGTTCCACCAAGACCTGTGCCAGCCAGAGGTTAGCCTTGCCCACATGGCCCACGTGGATATGTGCACACTCACCAGGATGCCAAGGTGAAGCTGTTCCATACTAATGGTGTTAAACACACAGGCTTGAAAATCAATCAATCAATCAATCAATCAGGTTTGGAATCATACAAATACATTTTGTAACCCCACTTTTTAATAGCTGTATGATATTGGTTAAGCTATATAAATGTTTTAACCTGGTAAGTGAGAAAAGAATAACTATAAGGTTGTTGTAGCTATTTTCTAAGACTGTTTTTAATGTATACAAAGCATTTAAAGAATATCTACATGTAGTAAATGTTCAGTAAGTAATAATTATTTTATTAGCTATTAAATCTAAATTCCATAACCTAAAAAAAAAATCAAAGTTTGATTTGAATGTTTTAATCAAATAGCATTATTACAATAGCAAATTTTAAAACTATCTATAAAAATTAATGTTTTTACTTTCTAGTATCTCCCTTTTTGTTATGTATTTAAGAAGACATGTGAAAACAAGGTAGACACATTTGTCAAAGATTTAAGTTATATTTGGTAGACAAAATATTCAACAGCCATCTAAAAGACTGACTCACTTTCAACTATTTTCAGAGTTTCTCAAGGGATTTGCTTATTTCACCTATTAATTTTACAACATAAATGCATTCACACATACTTCTCTTGTTGTTCACACCTGAAAATTATTTTTGTGTCAAGTGATGGATAAGCCATGTTTAACTTGGGTTTTTGTGCAAGTAGGACACTATCTCAACTTACACTCAGAGTAGAATATGAGCTCAAAAATTCTTTTTTAATTAAAAGAGTAAAAGTATGCATCTGTATTCTCTTTAGAGCCATGAATTCATAATTTGCTTTAATTCAGCATGTTAAAAATCTTGAATAACAATGCCTTTTCCATGCATCTTCAGAATTCTCTTATTGATTAATTTTTCTCAAGACCATGAGAATTAGTAGCATTCTTAATAATATCTGCGTGTTCGGCTGATTCTCTGATCATAGATATTTAAATTCCTTTGCCTTTTGTCTTTACGCCGATGCCTTTCTTTCATCTCTGATTTCTAGCTGCAACTGCATTTCCCCAGATTCCTCAAACCTCTGCGTTCAGCTAGATGCAAACAGATAAGGAGTGACCAGGGTCACAAGACAGAAACATTTTAGCAAAAAGTGTGATTTGTTTATGTAATCCTAAACTTCTTTCTGTTACCTCTGAGCAGATTGTTTGTTTTCCTTTTTTTTAACTCTGGGAGGAGAGGGGGCTGGTTTAAAAGTTAAAGGCTGCAAATGTTAACATCCCGAGAGATTTTACTTAAAAACCTACAATTCTAGATTCTTTTAAAAAGATCATGATTAGTAACCCTGGAACCAAAGCCATGAACTGATAAAAAAGAGCTGCAGCTGTCCCTAAAACAGGGCACTTGCTTTCTAGTTTGCCACAGCATCACCCATTTCTTCATTTGTGATATCTTTGTAAATTGTAATCTTTGCTCAAGGCATGATCTACTGTGGTTACCAATTTAAGATTAGAAATCAATCCTTGTGAAAGAATAGCTAATCTATCCAGATCTGTTTAAATTTTCATCTTCTATATGTAGTAACTGGAGAAGGAAATGGCCACCCACTCCAGTATTCTTGCCTGGAAAAATCACATGGACAGAGGAGCCTGGTGAGCTGTGGTCCTTGGGGTCGCAAAGAGTCAGGCACGACTTAGCAACTGAACACGTATAGTAATTTAGTGAACTGAAGAAAATTAGATTTTTTTGTAGTTTTAGCATTTTCCATAGGTTCAAAATTCTTGCAAATAATGTGTTAAATTGCAATTTCATTTAATTTTCTTTATTCAGTTCCACCCTCACTTCAGCTTCTTAGAGAATGAAACATTTGTTTCTAACCTAGGGCCATTTTCTTTGCATATTTCAAGAATAATTAATCTGTTTGTATATTTTTCTGTTTACAGATTGTACAGAAAATATCTAGATCTTTAGATAACAACAATTGGCATAGCTTTACCATAAGCAAAATTAGCGCAAGACAAAACAAAAATGTAGTTGAGTACCCTCATTTTGTAGCTAAAAGATATATTACACTGTGGGACTGGGAAATTCTCCATGCTGTTCAGTAGCATTTTACAATCAACACCTCTCCCCTTTTCAGGATATCGAATCCCTAACAGGAGGGCTGACTGGTTCTAAGGGGGCTGATCCACCGGTAAGTTAGATTCTTCATTAAATTTAACTATTGACAAACTGAATTATGTACATACCAGATCATCAGGATTACTTGTATACAAGTAGTTATACAGGTAACTTTTTGGACTAGGTTCTTTACAAACTTTATAGCTATTGCAATAGCTAATATAAAAATGTGAGCTTGCTTCGTGGTGTCATTTGGTCTTTTAAAAAGTTTTAATAATTCGTAAAATTCATCCCTATATTGACTCTAAAAATAGGGATGAAAGCTTCATTAGAATGTATAAACACCTTACATCCTACTAATGGGTTACAACAGAAGTTAAAATTTTTGTAACTTGAGAGTTTACTGTTTCAAATAAGTGTATGATTTTGGTTGCAATATACTCTCTTGTTACTGAGAAAAAAGATTTTTTTTTCAGGCCATTTTTTTCACAGTGTTGATTCTTGATATCACTGTTTCTTTCCTACTTTACCCATCAAATACATGAAAATTTTAGAAGATTGTTATTTTTAGACAATAACAAGAGATTGATAGTCTAATATTGGAACACTGTAGTCTTTTCTGTGATGTCTGATCTCAGAAAACATTCAGTAAAATAACATTCCTGTGATTTCACTCTCCAGGCACAAACATAAGTTTATGGCATTATCTCAAGTGATAAAATTCAGTGTATTTCAACAAATAGCCAAAGTATATATTTTTTTAATCACTGCTTCTTTTTCACTTAGCTCTGTGAGGTTTAATATGAAACAAAATCCTGTGTTATCAATTTTCAGCTATACTTCATCTAGGCATCTATCTGAAGTCCATAATTACATTAAGACATCACTGAAGTGTTAAAGAAAACTAATTGTAGCTTTTTCTCTCCTGTCTTACTCTCGTGTATCTCATGATGCTATCTAATCTTTATCAAATTGCTCCTAAAGTAGGGCTAAACAATGTATTTTAGTCCATCCTTTAGACTAAAATAGTTTCATGGTCCTGTTAGTCCTGTTAGTTTCATGGTCTGAATTTATGCAGAAAAAAAATGTATTGTCTTCAGATAGCTGCTTATATTTAGTCCCTGAATATATTACACTGAAGCATAAGAAAAGATGAAATGTGAGTCAGCCCAGCAAGTATATTATGACAGGATTTTTGGCCAGTCCTATATGCAAGTAGTATAGGTCACTGCTTATGTGATGTAATTTCACCCTGCTGTTTTGCATTATGTTTGTGCATAGCATTCCCCTTTTATTAGAAGAATAAGTCCATTCCCTTTAAAATACCTCCCTCACTGTTCACTGATTCCTGAAAGAATTCTGCAATTAGAGATAAGTTGGTTTTAAGAGGATTTGTCTCTTGTTCAAAACTAAGCAAAATACTTCTCTTCTACATGTGGCCATAAAACTCTTACCTGCTCTTTTCGTGTTAAAATAAGTTAATCACATCCTTTCAAGAAGGCAAATTTCAAACTATGGAAGATTGAGTCAGCATTAAAGCCTTGTTATTAAAAGAAGCCCCTGTGGCAAAAAGGTCACAGAAATGAAAGTTGATGACCTGAAGGCAAACTTAACCAACTTCATTTCTAAGAGCTAAAGTGAAGTGAATATGTATCTGTGTTTTATACTACACATATGTTTGTCTTTTCTTTGGATATAATTTATAATATCATGAGGATAGAGGTTCTCCCTTGGCATCTCCTAACATGAAGGTGTGTTTATTTTATAACATTTTGTAGAGTGGAAATTTTTCACACAAATGTCAGAGTATTTGAGTGCTTANATATAATTTATAATATCATGAGGATAGAGGTTCTCCCTTGGCATCTCCTAACATGAAGGTGTGTTTATTTTATAACATTTTGTAGAGTGGAAATTCTTCACACAAATGTCAGAGTATTTGAGTGCTTAGACAATCTAGAGTGTTAACAGTATACATTTTTTTTTTTACTGTTGTTAAAGAGCTATCCTCTTGTTAAAGAGATAGCCAAAGCATATTACCAAGAGCTATGTAATAAAACCACTTTTTAATATTCTATATAACTTATAAAAGTAGTCCAGATATGAAGGTGAAACGGTAATAATGTCTACAGTTGCTTCAGTCATTTAAGACTTTGAATTATATACTGTTTTTGCCCCCAGATTAGAAAACTGAAAGTCAGATTAAATTAAATTTCCTTCTGAAAAGAATTTCAGGAAGTATGTTTTTAAATTCATAAACTGGAAACCCATTGTTGCTTCATATAGAACTTACAGAATTTTCTAAATCACACAATTATCTTAGACAAAATGTCTTCTATCATTGAGAAAAATATTGCCTGTTATGTTAACTCAAAATTATCTTTGAAAAACTGTATCAAAGATATTATATATTCTGCATATATTTTTTATTCACAAAAATTAGACCACAGATTAACCTCTAGTGTACGTACATTGCGTATATTCACATATAAAAATAAGTAAACTTTTTAACATTAAAAAGTCTGCCTGCAACATGGGAATAAGCCACGTTTGATCCCTGGGTCGGGAAGATCCCCTGAAGAAGGGAATGACTACCCACTCCAGTGTTCTTGGGGCTTCCGTTATAGCTCAGACAGTAAAGCATCTGCCTGCAATGCAGGAGACCCAAGTTTGATGCCTCGGTCAGGAAGATCCCCTGGAGAAGGGAATGGCAACCCACTCCAGTATTCTTGCCTGGAGATTTCCATGGAGAGAGGAGCCTGGCGGGCTACAGTCCATGGGGTTGCAAAGAGTCAGACGTGCTGCTGCTGCTAAGTTGCTTCAGTCGTGTCCAACTCTGTGCGACCCCATAGACGGCAGCCCACCAGGCTCCTCTGTCCACGGGATTCTCCAGGCAAGAATACTGGAGTCGGTTGCCATTTCCTTCTCTCAGTCAGACATGACTGAGTGACACACCCATATAAAATAAAGGGAAGAAAAATAGATCATTAAAATGTCATTATTAAATTAAATAGTGCTCTTTAAATACGCCATTTCACCATAGTGTTTTAAATTGTAAATATTAGCATTATTAAAAGTGAAAAACTTGTGAAATGTTAGATGTCAGGGATGTCTCACATTATCAAGTCTTCAGGCCATCAGGCCAGCTGATAGGAAGGCCAGGATAAGGTCTAAACAACTCAGTCTCTGATGGCCAAGGGGATTATGGGTGCTGAAAAGCAGGTACAAAGCATAAACAGTTCAACTGCTGCACCAGCTGAACCTCGTATCTGGAGCGCTGTGGCTATGCAGGGCCATGCGGAATCAGCAGTGTGACAGGTCACTGTCTTGTCTTGAGCCCATGAGCCAATGACACAGAGGTTTTGGCCAACCATTTACCCAGGAGCCAGGATGTGTCCCACACTGCTAGCCAGGTCTAAGTCTGCAGGGGGGATTTAGTAGCTAAGCTTTGGCCACAAAAGTTAAGTTTAGTGATACAGACCTAAGCAGACTAATGTACACAATGAGAGGAGTTTCTCTTTGTCATTTGGTTGAAAAAGTGTTCTTACTATTTATATGCTGATATAAACCAGCTATTCACTTTCTTATTATTTCTGGTTATTTTTAAGAGTTAATATGGACAAAATCTAATCTATGGTGAATAAGTGACTATCCAGCTAATCTGTATCCTTAGGCTTGATATGCACACTGTCCTGAACATTCTCCAGCTGTATTAATTTTTTTCCCTGCTGAGGAACCAGAATTGTACATTCCATATTTTTGTACTTTCTGTTCTCTTTTTAATGGTCTTCCTGATGGTTCTTAGCAATTTGAGTAAACACTCCACAGAACTTAAAACCAATTCATTTTCCTGAGGGTGCTATTTAGATCGGGTTATATATTTTTCAAATTGTAAATAGCATAAAAATTTTAAAGCCTCCAAACTGATTTTAATTTGATTTTTCAAAAAATTCCAATGTTCTACTCACTTGCTTCAAAAGATAAGGCAATGCAAAATGTGAGTTTGAATTGTGATCTAAGTTATTTTTTTTCACCTTGAACATTCTATTGCTTTATTACTTACTTTCATTGTCCTATTTGTTTAAGCAAACAAATTTGTTTAGTGTATATCTGAGTGTATGCTGTGTGCTAGACATTTACTTAGGTTTTAGAAATACTGTGGTAAGCAATTCACAGTTTCTTTTTTCAGCATCCTATAATATAGTTAAAGAGACAGGTTGGTAAAATAATTGCAATGTAATATAAGCACAGGATGAGATGAAAGTAAGTAAGTGGATCGTGTAATCCAATTTGGGAGTAAGAGGTGGCTGGAGGATCAAAGAAGGCAAATAAAAGAAAACAATATCTAGTTGTAGAATGAGTTGAAGCTTGCCAACTGAAAAAAGTCAAGCATGGAATTTTAAATAAGGAAACACTATATGTGTAGGTGAAAAATTAGAAAACAGAGTGGCTAGCATACGAAATAGGAGAAGGCAATGGCACCCCACTCTGGTACTCTTGCCTGGAGAATCCCGTGGACAGAGGAGCCTGGTAGGCTGCAGTCCATGAGGTCACGAAGAGTCGGACACAACTGAGCAACTTCACTTTCACTTTTCACTTTTATGCATTGGAGAAGGAAATGGCAACCCACTCCAGTGTTCTTGCCTGGAGACTCCCAGGGATGGGATCGCACAGAGTCGGACACGACTGAAGTGACTTAGCAGCAGCAGCAGCATATGAAATAAGCTGGAGGATGGTAGGTGGTGATGAGATAGAAGGTAAAAGATAACACAGGGCAACAGGAAGAAATTCCATGGAAAAACATTGTGCTCTGTACTGAACATGAGGACCTGTTAAAGTCTTTAAATAGGAAAGTCACTTAATCAGCTCTGTCCTTGAGAAACATTTTTCTGGCTCTACTGAAGAGAGATTTAGAGAAAAGCTTAAGCGAGAAAACCATTGAAAGAGGCTCTTACAGTCATCCAAAGGACAGATGATAAAAACGATCATGGTGACTTTTTTTGGCTCTTGTCTCAGTGTATTAGAAAACTAATTGAGGCAATATCTCAGGGGAAAGTCAACATTTTATTTTAT